TTTTTTTAATTGATTGATGATTGATTCAATCAACTAATTTGTTGATTGTATTAACTTGATTCTTTAGATATTGAAAATTAAATAAATAACATTATGTTAATTTAAGCGTACAGAAACGTTGCTGTTGTTCCAGCAAAAATCTTATTTTCACTTTACCGAGTGCCTAGTAGGTAATTTGCAGATTACCTAGATAATCTGAACATTACCTAGGTAATTTGAGAAATGGAATAATTTTCGCAGCTTTAACGGATCACCCTAGTTAATCTGCAGATTAGCTAGGTAATGCGCACATTAACGGATTTCGAGCTTTAGCGGTAACATATATATATATAACTGATGTTTTTGTAAAGAATTGAGTACAGACATAGAGAGCATCTCAAAGCAGCATGGTTGAATCATTGAAGACAGTCAGAAGCAAGGTTCTAATATTTGTATAATTTTATATTGTCTGAAACTGTATCTATATAATCCTCATGATAACTTTTTAGTATGATAATATTCAAATGAATATTTCTGATAAATTGATATTTTCCACTTAAATAAAATTTGTTTTCTTAAACTGCATTTAACTGGCTACTTCATCATATTTAACTTTAAAATATTTGAAATTTATTTATTTATTTTTTGTTTGTTCATGATATATCATGATTCATTCAGGACTGAACTCATTATGTGGAATATCTCCATATAAAATGAAAAGATGAGCATGAAATATGAATAGAAGAATTCTTTATTTCATGTTGAAACAGTTGACATACATTATTTATAAAATATGCCACTCCACCAGCTGGGCAGTGGCACAAATATGATGCCCGATTGTCACATTTGCCAGTATGGAGCATTGAGTGAGTATATGTCTGAATGCTAACAGGGGCACTTCCAGCATCTTCTATGAGACATTCCTATTTGTCATGGACCAAGTTATGTTTTACATTACTTGTTATTCAAAAGTTATTGTTCAGTCATGAGTTATTGAAAAAAAATAAATATTCAGTCTCAAATTGATCACCTATATATTGATTATTAATCAAATTTTTAATTTTTTAATAATATTGAATTAATAATAATTTATTCTTTGCTATTTTGTGTGAATTGATCAATATAATAATGTTTACAAGTATAACAAACATCGCAAGTCCAATATGTATATAGAAACATCATCAAACAATTGCCTAAATAATTGGGCTATAACTCTGCTAATTTAATAATTAATGTTAAGTAATTTGCTACTAAAGGTAGACATTAGGCACCATCTCTTAACTAAATTAATAATTATAATTTTTAATAATTTATTAAACAGTTTAGAGCCATTTGGAAGAAAAGAACTGCCTGGGGTGGGGCTTGAACCTGCAACTGGCAAGCACACCACATGACAAGCGGAGATTGTGGGTTCAAGCCCTGCCCTTTTCTTCCAGATGGCTCTAAATTAATAATTACAATTTTTAATACATTATTAAAAATTGTAATTATTAATTTAGTTAAGAGATGGCACCCAACATCTATCTCTAGTAGCAAGTTAATATAAGTTAAATTTAATATTAATTATTAAATTAGCAGAGTTATAGCCCGATTATTTAGGCAATCATTTGGTGATATAATAATATCTATCATTAATTAATATTGATTTTTTTTTTAGATCAGCAGTTAAGCAGAAAAAGTTTTGAAATTGATGATGATGAAGCAGATGAAGGAGATTCTTTTGATAATGTACAAACTACAAAATTAAGAAATATGTTTAATTTTCATGATAGAGCAAGTCTTACAAATATTAAACTTTGCAAAGTGAGAAAAATGCCTTTGTTTTGTTAGTTTAAACTAGTATTACCTTCAATATAATTAATACTTTAAAAATTCTGTATTTTTTATAACATTATAGATTAATTTGATAGGAAAATAAAAATTTCAATTAATTTTTAGTAAAAGTTGCTTATGTAATAATCCCTTGATTAACATGTTTCTTGAATTAGTGTAATTTATAAATTGATAACAAGCATGGGTACCAATATGGTAAAATTATTTGGGTACAGACCCTAATAAGTTCCTTGTAACAATTTCTTTTATATTTTAAAAAACAAAACTGTTATTTTTTAACAAACAAAAAAACTCTAATGTTTTTTATATTTAAAAAAAATTGAATTTTACAACTTGTTAAAATTTACATAAAGGAATGGTATTAAAATGCGTGTTTTACAAATAATTTATAAAATCAAATTCATTTGAAGTTGCTGAGGCTTCCACATCATTTTGCTGCTGCCAATTTTGTCCCCAGGAATTTTGCTGGAGACAGTTTTGACATAGGACAGTTTGTTGCCCCCAAGTGGCTACTGAAAGTTGTTGGCTTAAAGGGTTAGTCCAGAAAAAAGTCATCTGCATTATTTTTGAAAAAGTACATACAAATCTCAGACCATATTTGATAATTCTTGTAACTGATATCATTATTTAGATGAAGAAGGTTATGACGTTTTTTCTTTTATCAGTTAAAATGCAAATAGAAAGCAGGCTTAAATTATATTCTTGTGGGTTTAGTGTTTAAATTTGGTTTGTGTTTTGGTGGGAGTCTGTAAACCTTTCACTCTGTTATTTGAGCAGAACATAATTTTGGTTTTTTTCATTTCATATTAAAATGATTATGAATTTTTGGCTACTTTTGGGCTAGATTTTGTGATTGGCTATTTAAAAATCTTAGATATCTGGTTACACTGATGTAGGCTTAGAATGCATGAATTGGTTATATATCCATTACATGATATTGTTGGGATTGTTAGACCATTACATGATTTCACATATATTAGAGTTGAGTGGTTAAATTGTCACCACAAAGTTAAGACAATGTATGCAGGAACTACAAATCTCTAACAAAATTTCCTGTGTTTAAACATTTATTTTTTGCTTTGTCTTATTATTCACAGATTAAGTTTTCCTTCTTCAACTTAAACAGTGATGTCACAAACTTACATTAAAAGTCAGAAAGGAGGTAACCTGCTAACATTTGAGGATTGAGAAAAAAGATGCATACAAAGTTAAATGGAAGTCAATAACTATCATACTAATAGATGCCCAGCTAGAGGTCACATTGTGATAATAGAATAAATAGCAAGTAAATACATGTAATCACCTGTTTTCAATGGCTAATGTTTTAGCTAACGTACTTATTGAGCAGATTAAGGAACAAACTACAGATAGTACTGAAACTCTACACCAGATTATAGCACAGTCTAGCCATCAGATTTCAGGTCCTGCAGCAGCTAAATTACTAACAATACAACACATTAAGTAACTAAAATAAGTATGATTTTAGCCTCAAATACAAATTAAAACAAATAGCATATCAAAACATAGCTAAATGTGAGAGCTTGTAACATCAGGATGAGGTGGAAAAAAGGCTCAAGTTATTCAAATATAACTTTTATTAATATTGGAATACATTTTGGGTGCTTATACTCCTCCTCAGGCCATTCAAAGAGTAAACACAATGGCAAACATGGCAATTAACAGAATGAATCTCTAAATTATTGTAGCAAAACAAAGTTTACAGAATATTATATAACCCAATGCACTGTGTATACAAATACATAAATTGCTAAATTAACACTAATTAATTTGTGTTATGTGATAATAAAAACTTATCAATGGTTGTAGTTAGTTTTGAACCAAAAAATTAAGTTGTTTTCTTCATAAACATTGGTTTTTACTGAATTTGATTTTTCTATTAGTAATCTTTATGTTGAAGTAAGTTTTAATTTATATTGGCTTTTTTTACATTATGTTGTTAGACCATCACCATTTTACAAAAAACCAAGTGTATTAATAAATTATGTGTATGATTCAACATACTATGAACAGAAGCAATCTTCCACCTCCAAAATTATTATCCTTGGTAGGTCTTGAGACACCCACTAGTTTTCAAAACACTTTTAAAGGCGACATTTTTTTTTTTTTTTGCAGTATGATAGCAATCCTAATAATGATTGAATCTTGATATTTTTAACTTCACATTCACTAGAATTATTGAAGAGCAAAGACCAATGGTTTTAGATGGAACCTTTAAGTCAGCTCCTTTTCTATTACATCAATTATACACTATTCATGTGATTAAGCTCAATGATCTCAATGATATTATCCCAATAGTTTACATGTTTCTCCCAAATAAATCCACAGAAACATACACCAAAGCATTAAGTGAGCTTAAAAATATCAAGTCAAGCCTACTACCTGTTACCATTATGATGGATTTTGAGTGAGCTCAAATCAACACCTGTGAGTTTAACTCAACTGAACATTGTGCACCACAAACAATTTAATTTATTTTGCTTAATAATATAAGTTTTTTTTAAATAAAAAACTCATAACAGCCAGTAAAGTTACACAACTCATGTTGCTCAATTTTTTTTTTTTTTTTAAATATGTCAAATGTGTATCAAGTTGAAACTTTACCTATTGATAACGTCAGCTTAATGAGCTATGTTCCATAGAATAATAAATACATTAGAGAACCCAAAATGTAGAAAAATGTCAAGTTATCCAAGTACAGTGGGTGATCAGTTAACGAACATAATCCGTTCCAAGACTTTGTTTGTTATTCGAATTATTTATTAACTGATTATTGATTTACCATAGGTTTTTATGGGAATTTGATTAATTCGTTCTGAAGACTCCAAAAATAAAAAATATATACTTTTTTACTAAGTTTATTTAAATGTAATAGTAAAAATACATATATATGCAGTCTTGCATTTTTATTAGTAATGTTTTTTTCATTTGTGGGGGTTAAAGAATCTGTCCAATGTCGATTGCTTTTCTCTTTTCTTCAGGATTTTTCGGAAGCAATTAATATTATTGAAATTGTAGAGATCCCCAACCCATTAACCTTATTCTGGTTTGGATGCCACTTGGATGATCGTTGCTCTGACATTCCTGGAGTTCTTCTGTCGTCAGATCAGTTTCCGGTTTCATTATGAGCTCTAAAATACTCTTTATTTCTCAGATGTGATTTTCATTACTCCATTAGTAGCTTGAGACTTCTTGATATATCTTTCATAGCTAAGATTGTGCTAACTGCAGACCAGTTCAATCCATACTGTCTAGCAACATCAGACATCTTGTGCCCACTTTTTACCTTGGCTATTATCTTTTACCTGGTTTCTATGGTGAGCACAGTTCTTGACACTTCTTTTTTTAGGCTCCATAATATTATCAGTTTCTTTTTTAAATAAAAAGTTCAGAAAAGCACTTACAAAAATTCAGAGAACAGAAATCAACTAGCCAACAAAAAATTATTTAAATGAAAGGCCAGGAGGAAATTTGAAATTTGGTATTAAAACGTTAATGAATATCCGATGGGACAGTTAAACTTTCACCTTTCATAAATAAACCCCGATGCAAAACTTAATGAGTGCCCATCCGACAGTCATGAATACTATAAAAAATTATTTGTCAGAAAGGTAAACAAAAAGGTGGAATTACAAGTGAGAGTTTCAAAATTCAGAGGGATATTATACTATCCGATCAGTGTCGGGTTGAGCATTGATGTTGACTTCTCCCGTGTTCCGAAAGGTTTCGAATTGTTACCCGAAGACAAGGGAAAATCAATCGGTATTCATTATTTTCCATCACTTCTTTTTATGTTTGTTCAGTAAAGTGTTTGTTATCCGATCATAAAAATATTTTGTGAAAGTGTTCGTTATTCGATTTGTTCACTATCCGAACTGTTCGTTAACTGATCACCCACTGTATTTAGATAATAGAGTTTTACTGTATTTTGAATGATTTTAATTAACAGTAGGATCCTTTTTTTATATTATTCCTGAAAATATATTCAATTCATTTTCTTTATTAAAAAACAAAAGGCATGAGAAAAATCATTAATTTTACTAAAATATGAGTAATAAATTACTGTGTTTAACTCAGTTTTACTTTCCTGGCTGTTAAGTATACATAACATGGGAAAGATTTGGAATCGTGTCAAATTTGACCCTTTGAATTTTTGCAAATCTCCACATTGTGAGATGATCTGAATCCAAAAAAGTAAAAAAATTGACAAATTTTTTTGTCATTTTTTTAAATGTGTGTGTGAGGGGACATCTATTTCGCTTAATATCTCAGGATGGGATAAAGATTATGAAACGAAATTTAGCATGGTGGCTTGTATATGAGGGGCATTGAAGCTGTTAAATTTTGTTGGTTAAAGATCAAGGGATTGAGGAGATAGAGGTGTAGGATTTAATGAAGATTTTATTCATTATTAATATCTATACTTTTTTTTTTATAAAACTCATTCCTACCTTCAAAATTAAGCTTTTTGCCATTTTATAGTAATAAATTTTTTATTATAACAAAATCTCATAACAGATGATGCCACACACAATTTTATTTATTTTATAAATAATATAAAAGTTATTTTTTAAAATAAAAACTCATAACAGCCGAGAAAGTTAGGCTACTCACTGCTGGGCTTTTTTATTTTCTAAAATGTTTAATAATTTATTTTAAATTATTTTCTCAAGTAATTTATTCTTTTAAATTAAAAATATTTGATCATATTATCTCCATTCTTGTGAGAAGCTCAAGAATGAAAATAATCTATTTAAGAATTTTTAATTAAAACATTTAATTTTTATTCTTTCATAGAATATTTCACTGCAGACAGAACCTCCACCTTGTTCCATTTTTGTTGGAAATGCTACTCAATGGGAAATGTTTGATACATACGTAACAGACGAAAAAATAAAGGTGAGTGTATATGTGTAAGTTAAATTTGAAGAAGATATTTTATAATTAGACTACTTTGAATGATATAGCTATGTATTTATGTATAAAATCATATATTTGTTGTATATACTGTATGGTTATAGTTATAAAATATATTTTATGTTTTATTATAATATTTCTAATAATTATCATAGATATTTAAATAACTGCACTAAATTCAATTTTTTAAATTGGCAAAGTTTAATATAATATACAGGTATTACTTGATTAACACGGTTAATTAAGCTCTTGATGCTACTGTATATATCATAATCGCATTAATCAAATATGTTATCTAGGTTAAGTATAAACAGCTGGTAAAATGCATTAATCAAAACTTCAACCACATATATAAAGGGATTGCCACAATTAATTTTGTGCATTAATCAAATCCTGCATTAAGCAAAACTGTGTTAAGCAAGGGATACCTATAATATAATTTATACCAGGAGGCATCTTGATAATACAGTAGAGCATTGTTTATCCGAAGGTTGGTTATCCGAAATGTCAGTTATCCGAAGGAATTCCAGTCGACAAATTTAAATTTTCGCCAGTGCTGTGGCGCTGTAATCTTTCGCTATGTCTTCGGCTACTCAAATATTTTACGTTTTTGATACTAAATTAACTTCTGAAGTATAATTTTTTATTGTTTTTATATTTTTCAATATATTTATTTTGTTCGTACAAAATAAAAAAATAATTTTTAACGATACAATAGTCTTCGTTAGGCTTAACATCGACGAAAATTCAACGCAAAGCGACAAGCAATGGAGAAAAATTTCAACACAGGATAAATTAATATATTTTTTCGTACATAATTGGTTATCCAAAAAATAAGTTATCCGAACAACCCCAATCCTCAATTGATTCGGATAATCGACGCTCTACTGTATATGTGTAGTATGAATGACATTATTGAATATGAAATTAAAAAACACATAAATACAATTATATTGACAGAAGCTGTGCTCTTCAGTTAAAATGTATATTATCATTTTTTCTATGAATATTTTGTTTTTGAAATTCTAAATTAGTAAAAATTTATTGCATGTAAAAATAATTAATGGTTAAAAATATTACATAGAATCAGTTAGAAACAGTTGAAAACATTCATTTTCATAATAAATTTTTTTCATTTTAACTGTGTTACAGTTATTAGTTGCTGCTTTTATATGAATTGTTTGAAGTCCAAATAAATTTTTTCTTTAGAAATAATAGAAAGTGAATTAATTTGTTTCCAGATGCTCAATTAACAATACTTATTTTGATAAACTTAAACACAATTTTCAGGTAAAAGTAACACAGATAAATACCCTAACTAATAAAAATTTAAGTAAAAAACTTACAGTTATTTTGGTATAGATTTTGATGATAAGTTAACTTTTCAGGAACATGTTCAGGAACCTCTATATCTTGAAATCTGTCTATCTCAAATTTTTTTCTCATTTCCATAATATTCAAGACAGACAGGTTCATCTGTAATTATTTACATATAAAACAGTATACAATGATTTGCCTTGTTTATGATATAACAGCATTAATTTTTGTCATTTTGCTAATGGAATCTGAACTAAAGATGGTCTCATTACCATTTTGTATTATTTATTTTATTTTTTAACTCTACAGTTGTATAATGTTGTTTTATATTAATTCAAGTAACATTATATAAAATTTAAGATTCAGACAAAAGAAAAACAGATAAGTTGATTATTGCAAGTTAGTCAGTGGATAATCTGCATTCAATCACGAATTGATTTTTAAATACAGATAACCCATGGGTTAATCAAATAAAATTATGTTATTCATCAATTAATAATATTAACTTCTATTAATTATTTAATGAAAAACTAATAATAGTTTTTATTTTTAATTGTGATATTAATATAAAAATATTATATATTATATCTGAATTAAAACATTTGTTTTAATTTTCAAGGAAAAAGAAAAATTGAGGAGCAGCATTAAAATACAGAAAAAATCTGAAAATCTTCAAGACACTGTAAATATTATTGAACATAAGTTTATTTATCTATAATTATAAATAACAAAATTTATCAGATTTTTTAAATTTTATTTTATAATTAAAATGAATAACTGAGTAAATATCATGAAAACAATTATAATACTCTTAACAAACATACAGAGTCAAAAATAGCCTATATTAAAAAGATAATGTTTTGCTATATAGTATACTTCTAATTAGTATTGACAAACAGAATTCACATATTTTATTTATTGAAATTGAAAATAGCATTCAGTTTGATATAAGTAGATTTTACAACCAAAAGAAATTTAATAGCATATACAAATTTCTTTTTAACAGCTTCAATATTTATTAGTCTGTAAAAATCAGCAATGAGTTGCTTAACTTTCCCAGCAAGATTTAAAATTTTGGTGGCACCATCTATGATATTTCATTTTAAAATTTTTTATATTTTTAATTATTATAAAATGACAAAAAACTTAATTTTGAGGGTAGGGGTGGATTTTATAAAAAAAAAATTGTAAATCCTAATAATGAGTAAAATCATCATTAAGTCTGACCCTACTCAAGATATGAACAACTCCCCTCTATCTCCCCATCCCTCGACCTTTAACAACCAAAATTTAATAGTATCAATCCCCCATATTACATAAACCTCCCTGCAAAATTTCAGAAATTTTCAACAAAAAGCACAGAAGTTATTAAGCTACAAACAGGGTGAACAAAATCATGCCCCCACACACACTAACATCCACACATACAGAAAACCCCAAATTTCTTGAATTTCTTGATACTTCAAGGTCTCCTTAGTCCAAAATGTAAAAACTTGGAAGAACATTTTTTGACCTATTGCCATACTTTTCCTCTGTTATATATAACAGAGCCGAGAAAGTAAAGATTGATTATTAAGAATTGTAAAAATGATATAAGATTAATTATTAAGATATATTGACAGTAGAGTTTACAATAACAATACTCAATTTATATTGATAGTATTATTTTGATTTGGATGGCTATTCTGAAAAAATTTTTAGATGAAATGAATAAAGCAATACAATGACAATATGACAAATCCACTAGTATATTTACTAGTGGATAAGTCATTAATATTTCAAAGTTAAGTTTTCTAATTAAGATATATATAGACAATATTACATGAATTTCTGGCATTATGCACATATTTGATGTTTAATGATAAATTTTCATACAAATGTTTTTACTCATAATTGTAATGAATAATTTGTTTTCCAAACAAATATCTGAATTATAAGGGATTTCATAGTGACCTCAAACTATAAGAAATCATTCCCAATGTTCGTTTTATTTATAGGTTTAGCTCTCCATATCATTTATAGATATCTAATGCTTTCAGCTCTTTTAAGTCAAAATTATTATACACCAGTCTTACAATCCTGTAAAGGTGAACTTGTGACCAGCATAGGCTACTGTGACATGGCAGTTAAGGCAGTGACAGATCAGGACTGGTGCTAGTGCCCTAGTAGCTGTTACTGACATGGCAATGACCATGCATGCTCCTTATACATTATCCCTTCAAACCCAAACTAAGTAGTGTTTTGCTGAAGTTTGCTGTTGTTGTATTATGCCAACTTTATTGGGCACTACATGCAAATAGCAGTAATACCTAATATGTTGTTTTTCATGTTTTTTTTGTTTTTTATGTGTTTTATTAAAGGAATAATGATTTTTTTGTTAAATTTTATATTTTTGTATTATTAGTACATTAGTAATAGCAATTTTATGCCAAAAAATTGACTTTCAAACCTTCATTGATGCAAAATCTTTGATAAGGTGTCCATAATCCAAAGAGCAAGTGATTTCATTTTTAATTGATAATAGTGCTAGATGGTTCATTCTCTCTTGAGTCATTGACATTCTCAAGTAATTTTTAATCACTTTTAATTTTGAGAAGCTTCTTTCTCCAGAGGCCACTGTAATGGGAAACTCAAAAGCTGCTGGAAGATTTGGAACTGCAATGTTCAGTTTGTTTCCATAAATGATAATGCAACAGCTTTGAACTAAGGCACAATGTGGTATTTTTACAATCTAGGAGAAATAATTATTGTTTCAAAAATTTATCTGTTTTTCTTCAGGTATATGAAATAAAATGAGTAAAATACAAAAAAATCTTTATTTCAATAATAACATAAATATGAATACAAAGTATAACTACATTATGGATATTTAAAAAAAATCATTTATTCGGAATCAGTATATTCATCATCTGATATATTTTAGATATGTGATGATACTTCCAATAATTGCAAAATCTCTTCAGTGATCTGACCCTTTTTAATTTTTGGGGCAGAATATAAAATAGCAATGAGAAGAGCCTTTCTGAAAAGTATTAAAAATAATAATTGTGCAAACTTGTGCAGAATCCTTTTAAATAGTTTCTAAAGCATTTGAAATAAGTTTTAATTTAGACCTATTAACAGTTCAGCATAATGTAGTATTAGTTAAAAAACTCACAACTCACCACACTTATATATCAAACACGTAGACTGAACCAATATAATGTGTGGTACGAACGACGAAACAAAAACCTAGGTTCTTCCTCAGGTTCCTTTAGCTAAAAAGCTAAAGGAACCTGAGGAAGAACCTAGAAGAGGTTCGAAAACGTTTGTTTTTTGTTTCGTCGTTCATACCACACATTATATTGGTTCAGTGTACGTGTTTGGTAGTATTAGTTACTTATAAGCCAAAAACTTATACAAGGAGTATTTATAGCAAGCAAAAATTAGACAATAAAAACCCTAAAGTGAATGTACAGTATTCCAATAAGTGTATAGAAGAATAAACATGCACAAAGAAATTCAGGTTCAATGTACTGATTAAAATACTTATGCACTGATGGTGACTTTATTTTTTTTTTACAAATACAGATTGAAACTAATAAAAATTATAACTTTTTTAATTAAAACAAACTAAAATAAAAAATAAATTCAAAATATTCTGTCAATAAATTAGTGATTTAAAAAAAGTCATGTAATTCCTCTAATTGCAAAAATATCACATAGTATAAAGATGAGAACATGTTCAACTCAGTATGTGAATCACTAGAATCAATATTAGAGTTGTGAGCATCAGTTAATAAAATATTTAAATCTGTACTACTCTTCATCAGTCATGTCAAACAAATCAAAATGGTGCTTTATTTGACTGAATCGTTCAGATAGACATCAGTGTCTTATCTAACAAGAGATTGAAAAACTCAATACAATACTTTTCTTTTAGATCAGAAGTTGAGTCATTGTGGCTCTCATATTCAAACTGTGTTCTAACTTTTCCTCCACAAACTTGCAAATTCTGCTAAAAATGCTATTGCATCTGGACTGAACTCCAATTCTTCTACCATTTCTTTAGCTGCAATTTGTACAGATTCAAAACCATTGTTATTGAATGTTTAGAAAAAAATCAGTGGTTTTTTAAGGCATTTTAATGCCTCATCAAATTGCATGTCCTTAATTTGCATTACCTTGTTAACAAGATTAATTTGCATCAAAAGATCATACTAGATCACCAAAAGTGCATAATTTTTTTAATATTTTGCAAGTCTTGTTGCCTTGTTTTTGGCTTTTGAGTCTTTTGCCTCCTCTGATACTTCAACCAGTGCATCATATACAGAAGCCACATAGAATCTAATCGTTATATTGTTGTCAATGCAACATTCCCATTGAGTTTCCAATATCAGTTTTACAGTTGGACTTTGAACATGCTTTTTAAATATATATCATTTGTAATGAGGAAGAAAATAAATTCCAAAGATGTCATGACAGAAGTAGATGATTTGGTCACGTTAGCAATTACTAAATTCAAATTATGGCAACCACATGGAACATAGAATGCTTTGAGATTCATATCAAGTAAATGTTTGAATGCCATATTTACAACCTTTCATATTCTTTCCCTCTGCAGTTTTGAAATGATAATTGCAATTCCTCCAGTTTTTACAAGCCTGGTTTCTGCAAGATCAACACCTGTACTACTTTCAAAAGGCTAAAAGCCAACAAAATATTCATTATTTCCAGTGGCAATATTTTCCACATTAACAGTTCAAAGAATCACAGTCATTTGTTCCTGATGACTAGCATCTGGTATGCAATCCAAAATGAGAGAAAAATATTTAGCCTTGTGTATTTTTGCAATAATGTTGTTCAAAACTGATTTTCTCTTGAGCTTTGTTATTTCATTTAAATGCTCTTGTGAGGACCTGAACAGGGGTCTACTGAGAGTTCCGAATGAAGGGTATCAATCGGAAATTTAAAGTGCTCCTTTTCAGACGTGAATGGAAAGGATTAGATGTCTCAATCGAACAATGGAAATTTTTGTGTAAATTAGTTAAACAATGGAAAGGAATAAAGTCTAGAAAAAGTGATGAAAGAGGAATCATATTCAGTCACGGTGCTGAGCTCTCCCGTGCCCTCCATCGGGTTTCGAATTGTCACCAGGTGACAAGGAGAGACCAATAGAGAGGTGACTGAGGTTAAGAAATCTATAAAACCGTGCGATTCAAGTTACAAAGGTTCTTGGTTCTTGGTTCATAGTCTTATCCTCCTGGATGTGTGTGTCACTGCCGAATCTTGAAAAGAATGTTTTGAATCTAATGGAAGCAACCTCATCTGTAGTGTCACCGGACGACCTCCAGGCTCGTTGGTTCGTCCGAGAAAAACCACCTGAAGCAGTGCCATTCGCCCTGGGGCTGACGATTATTTCACTATCTTTGCCGAACCATAGGAAACGGAAACACAAACTTTTCGAACTCTACTTGAACTTTATCCTCGCTCTTCGTGGTGTGATAATCCATCAAACAAGAAAATATTGTAAGAAATTTTAATGTTATTAAAATTTCTTTTATATGGTAAACCTGTCTCGGTTAGTCATTCTGCACCCACACAATGGTATTGACCACTCAGCTGTCGAAATCTCCTCACCCCAATCGGCTAACCCCACACTCTCTCCAAGGTAATGATGATGGATTTCAGCACACTTGATTCTATATATTTTCTCCTGTATTGCATAACATAGTTACTTAAAAATTCATCAAGACTCAAGAATCAGAGAACAGAGAATCAGTGGTACCATGAAAAGCCAAACTTCTTCCTGACAAAAACTGCACAATAGAAATGATCTGTCCCAACAAGCACATTTCCCTTGCAGTAATTTCTGATGTTGCTTGTCTGTCTTTTTAGTTCTTCTTTTAATTCAAGCCATACCCTCACAGAACACAAAAGATTTGCATAAAATTCATGCTCTGATAGAAAACTATACTTATGTTTCAAGTTATTTCAGTAAACAGTCAGCTTGATACAAGAATCAGAAAATCATATACTATTATAAATTATTATTATTTTATTGTGTTATTTTAATATTGCAACAGTAATAAATAAACATATCAATAATGTATATAAATTTCTTTTACATAGTCTGAAGATTTAAATAAATTATTGCCAAATGCTAAAATTATGGAAAGAATGCTGAATTTAACAATATTTGATGAAATTGCACAAGGTAAAAGTAAAATTAAACATACAAAAAAAAATTTTGAATTTTTAGTCTAGTCAATATGTAAGATCTGAATGAAATATTTTAATTGTACAGTACAATAATTTAAAATTTTAGTTTTTTGGAATTAAGTTTCAGTTTTATTAGATAGAGAAGTATAATTTAGTATAAAATATTTTTATAGTAAAAGATCATCCTTATTATTAATTTAAGATCAGTATTTTTAACATTAGTATTTTTCAAATATTAAGAAATTAAAAATAGTTTTTTAAAACCTCTTATTAAGGCAACTGAAACTTAAATGCTTTTATTCAGAAACATTTTCAACTCTTGAGCTTGCATCAGCCATACATACATTACAAACTATTAGAATGTTGAATTGAACATAAAATTGGGTAGAAAAGAAAACTCTTCTAAGCAAACAAAACAAAAATATTACACTTTCAAACTAGAGCTATTTTAAATGTATTACATGATTGAATATTAAATATTTATAATCAACATATTTAAATTATCTAATTGTTTTTTTAGATAGTTTCTTTCATATCACTTAAAAATATATGTAAAATAAGTGGGAAACATTAAATTTTCTTGTTACATTAATATGAAAAAACAGGATAATGTAATATATCATTTCAAATAAACATTTATACACATCGATATTCCTGCTAAAAATGATATTTGAGTACAGTAATATTAAATAATTATTAGGTTCATTTAATTTGCAAAATGATGGTTAATCATCCATGTATCTGTAGATTTTAAATATTGGGAAGATCCTTCAGATGCTTTTCGGAATAGTGGTAGTCTTTTACCACTTTGGAAATTTAATAAACCAGCTACAATACAAATACAATATGAAGTAACTTGCTTATGTTGGAATCCATATTATTCTGATTTGTTTGCTGTTGGATTAGGATCATGTAAGTCATTAATTTAACATTTTTTTAAAAATTTACTCTAATAATGTTTTGTGCTAAATTAATTTTTAACTATTTTAGCAATGAGTTTTAATATAAAATTAAAAATTGTTCTTTGTAGATGATTTTATGAAGCAGTATCAGGGTGAAATCTTTCTATATTCATTAAAATGTCCTACACATCCTGAAATTATCATTAATGTAGATACTACAGTTTGCAGTTTAGATTTTCATTATGAAAAAGGACATTTATTAGCTGTAGGACTTTATGATGGCACAGTTTCTATTTATAAGTTAAAGAAAGCACAGAACAAACTTTTTCTTACCAGTAAAGACCCAAATAATAAACATTTTGATCCAGTCTGGCAGGTATGTTTTCATAGGGTTTCGAATTGTCACCAGGTGACAAGGAGAGACCAATAGAGAGGCGACTGAGGTTAAGAAATNCAATATATTTATTTTGTTCGTACAAAATAAAAAAATAATTTTTAACGATACAATAGTCTTCGTTAGGCTTAACATCGACGAAAATTCAACGCAAAGCGACAAGCAATGGAGAAAAATTTCAACACAGGATAAATTAATATATTTTTTCGTACATAATTGGTTATCCAAAAAATAAGTTATCCGAACAACCCCAATCCTCAATTGATTCGGATAATCGACGCTCTACTGTATATGTGTAGTATGAATGACATTATTGAATATGAAATTAAAAAACACATAAATACAATTATATTGACAGAAGCTGTGCTCTTCAGTTAAAATGTATATTATCATTTTTTCTATGAATATTTTGTTTTTGAAATTCTAAATTAGTAAAAATTTATTGCATGTAAAAATAATTAATGGTTAAAAATATTACATAGAATCAGTTAGAAACAGTTGAAAACATTCATTTTCATAATAAATTTTTTTCATTTTAACTGTGTTACAGTTATTAGTTGCTGCTTTTATATGAATTGTTTGAAGTCCAAATAAATTTTTTCTTTAGAAATAATAGAAAGTGAATTAATTTGTTTCCAGATGCTCAATTAACAATACTTATTTTGATAAACTTAAACACAATTTTCAGGTAAAAGTAACACAGATAAATACCCTAACTAATAAAAATTTAAGTAAAAAACTTACAGTTATTTTGGTATAGATTTTGATGATAAGTTAACTTTTCAGGAACATGTTCAGGAACCTCTATATCTTGAAATCTGTCTATCTCAAATTTTTTTCTCATTTCCATAATATTCAAGACAGACAGGTTCATCTGTAATTATTTACATATAAAACAGTATACAATGATTTGCCTTGTTTATGATATAACAGCATTAATTTTTGTCATTTTGCTAATGGAATCTGAACTAAAGATGGTCTCATTACCATTTTGTATTATTTATTTTATTTTTTAACTCTACAGTTGTATAATGTTGTTTTATATTAATTCAAGTAACATTATATAAAATTTAAGATTCAGACAAAAGAAAAACAGATAAGTTGATTATTGCAAGTTAGTCAGTGGATAATCTGCATTCAATCACGAATTGATTTTTAAATACAGATAACCCATGGGTTAATCAAATAAAATTATGGTATTCATCAATTAATAATATAAACTTCTATTAATTATTTAATGAAAAACTAATAATAGTTTTTATTTTTAATTGTGATATTAATATAAAAATATTATATATTATATCTGAATTAAAACATTTGTTTTAATTTTCAAGGAAAAAGAAAAATTGAGGAGCAGCATTAAAATACAGAAAAAATCTGAAAATCTTCAAGACACTGTAAATATTATTGAACATAAGTTTATTTATCTATAATTATAAATAACAAAATTTATCAGATTTTTTAAATTTTATTTTATAATTAAAATGAATAACTGAGTAAATATCATGAAAACAATTATAATACTCTTAACAAACATACAGAGTCAAAAATAGCCTATATTAAAAAGATAATGTTTTGCTATATAGTATACTTCTAATTAGTATTGACAAACAGAATTCACATATTTTATTTATTGAAATTGAAAATAGCATTCAGTTTGATATAAGTAGATTTTACAACCAAAAGAAATTTAATAGCATATACAAATTTCTTTTTAACAGCTTCAATATTTATTAGTCTGTAAAAATCAGCAATGAGTTGCTTAACTTTCCCAGCAAGATTTAAAATTTTGGTGGCACCATCTATGATATTTCATTTTAAAATTTTTTATATTTTTAATTATTATAAAATGACAAAAAACTTAATTTTGAGGGTAGGGGTGGATTTTATAAAAAAAAAATTGTAAATCCTAATAATGAGTAAAATCATCATTAAGTCTGACCCTACTCAAGATATGAACAACTCCCCTCTATCTCCCCATCCCTCGACCTTTAACAACCAAAATTTAATAGTATCAATCCCCCATATTACATAAACCTCCCTGCAAAATTTCAGAAATTTTCAACAAAAAGCACAGAAGTTATTAAGCTACAAACAGGGTGAACAAAATCATGCCCCCACACACACTAACATCCACACATACAGAAAACCCCAAATTTCTTGAATTTCTTGATACTTCAAGGTCTCCTTAGTCCAAAATGTAAAAACTTGGAAGAACATTTTTTGACCTATTGCCATACTTTTCCTCTGTTATATATAACAGAGCCGAGAAAGTAAAGATTGATTATTAAGAATTGTAAAAATGATATAAGATTAATTATTAAGATATATTGACAGTAGAGTTTACAATAACAATACTCAATTTATATTGATAGTATTATTTTGATTTGGATGGCTATTCTGAAAAAATTTTTAGATGAAATGAATAAAGCAATACAATGACAATATGACAAATCCACTAGTATATTTACTAGTGGATAAGTCATTAATATTTCAAAGTTAAGTTTTCTAATTAAGATATATATAGACAATATTACATGAATTTCTGGCATTATGCACATATTTGATGTTTAATGATAAATTTTCATACAAATGTTTTTACTCATAATTGTAATGAATAATTTGTTTTCCAAACAAATATCTGAATTATAAGGGATTTCATAGTGACCTCAAACTATAAGAAATCATTCCCAATGTTCGTTTTATTTATAGGTTTAGCTCTCCATATCATTTATAGATATCTAATGCTTTCAGCTCTTTTAAGTCAAAATTATTATACACCAGTCTTACAATCCTGTAAAGGTGAACTTGTGACCAGCATAGGCTACTGTGACATGGCAGTTAAGGCAGTGACAGATCAGGACTGGTGCTAGTGCCCTAGTAGCTGTTACTGACATGGCAATGACCATGCATGCTCCTTATACATTATCCCTTCAAACCCAAACTAAGTAGTGTTTTGCTGAAGTTTGCTGTTGTTGTATTATGCCAACTTTATTGGGCACTACATGCAAATAGCAGTAATACCTAATATGTTGTTTTTCATGTTTTTTTTGTTTTTTATGTGTTTTATTAAAGGAATAATGATTTTTTTGTTAAATTTTATATTTTTGTATTATTAGTACATTAGTAATAGCAATTTTATGCCAAAAAATTGACTTTCAAACCTTCATTGATGCAAAATCTTTGATAAGGTGTCCATAATCCAAAGAGCAAGTGATTTCATTTTTAATTGATAATAGTGCTAGATGGTTCATTCTCTCTTGAGTCATTGACATTCTCAAGTAATTTTTAATCACTTTTAATTTTGAGAAGCTTCTTTCTCCAGAGGCCACTGTAATGGGAAACTCAAAAGCTGCTGGAAGATTTGGAACTGCAATGTTCAGTTTGTTTCCATAAATGATAATGCAACAGCTTTGAACTAAGGCACAATGTGGTATTTTTACAATCTAGGAGAAATAATTATTGTTTCAAAAATTTATCTGTTTTTCTTCAGGTATATGAAATAAAATGAGTAAAATACAAAAAAATCTTTATTTCAATAATAACATAAATATGAATACAAAGTATAACTACATTATGGATATTTAAAAAAAATCATTTATTCGGAATCAGTATATTCATCATCTGATATATTTTAGATATGTGATGATACTTCCAATAATTGCAAAATCTCTTCAGTGATCTGACCCTTTTTAATTTTTGGGGCAGAATATAAAATAGCAATGAGAAGAGCCTTTCTGAAAAGTATTAAAAATAATAATTGTGCAAACTTGTGCAGAATCCTTTTAAATAGTTTCTAAAGCATTTGAAATAAGTTTTAATTTAGACCTATTAACAGTTCAGCATAATGTAGTATTAGTTAAAAAACTCACAACTCACCACACTTATATATCAAACACGTAGACTGAACCAATATAATGTGTGGTACGAACGACGAAACAAAAACCTAGGTTCTTCCTCAGGTTCCTTTAGCTAAAAAGCTAAAGGAACCTGAGGAAGAACCTAGAAGAGGTTCGAAAACGTTTGTTTTTTGTTTCGTCGTTCATACCACACATTATATTGGTTCAGTGTACGTGTTTGGTAGTATTAGTTACTTATAAGCCAAAAACTTATACAAGGAGTATTTATAGCAAGCAAAAATTAGACAATAAAAACCCTAAAGTGAATGTACAGTATTCCAATAAGTGTATAGAAGAATAAACATGCACAAAGAAATTCAGGTTCAATGTACTGATTAAAATACTTATGCACTGATGGTGACTTTATTTTTTTTTTACAAATACAGATTGAAACTAATAAAAATTATAACTTTTTTAATTAAAACAAACTAAAATAAAAAATAAATTCAAAATATTCTGTCAATAAATTAGTGATTTAAAAAAAGTCATGTAATTCCTCTAATTGCAAAAATATCACATAGTATAAAGATGAGAACATGTTCAACTCAGTATGTGAATCACTAGAATCAATATTAGAGTTGTGAGCATCAGTTAATAAAATATTTAAATCTGTACTACTCTTCATCAGTCATGTCAAACAAATCAAAATGGTGCTTTATTTGACTGAATCGTTCAGATAGACATCAGTGTCTTATCTAACAAGAGATTGAAAAACTCAATACAATACTTTTCTTTTAGATCAGAAGTTGAGTCATTGTGGCTCTCATATTCAAACTGTGTTCTAACTTTTCCTCCACAAACTTGCAAATTCTGCTAAAAATGCTATTGCATCTGGACTGAACTCCAATTCTTCTACCATTTCTTTAGCTGCAATTTGTACAGATTCAAAACCATTGTTATTGAATGTTTAGAAAAAAATCAGTGGTTTTTTAAGGCATTTTAATGCCTCATCAAATTGCATGTCCTTAATTTGCATTACCTTGTTAACAAGATTAATTTGCATCAAAAGATCATACTAGATCACCAAAAGTGCATAATTTTTTTAATATTTTGCAAGTCTTGTTGCCTTGTTTTTGGCTTTTG